TGTGAACTTAAACCAAAACTTTTTTGTTATAAATACGACAAATGCAGTACAGTTGTAGCTATCTTTCCAATGTAGATATCCTGTCCATGCGGCTATCCTGGGGATGATGCTATATTGTCAATGTAGCTATCCTGACGATGCAGCTATCCCGTCAACGCAGCTATCCCGATAATGTAGCTATCTCGTTGATGCACCTATCCTGTCCAACACGCTATCCTATCGACGCAGCTATCCTGTCAAAATAGCAATCCTGTCGATGAACCTATTCTGTCCATGCAGCTATCCAGTCGACGGAGCTATCCTGGTGTTGCTGTATGAAACTTCCCTGAAAACGCTTTTGTCTATTTTGTTACGTTCGGTAGAGATTGCAAGTTAAAAAGCCACTGGTCAAACTAGTTTATTGCAAGTTAAAAAGACACTGGTCAAATCATTTTATTGAGAGATAAAGCGTTGTAAACTAAAAACCATAAGTGCAGAAAAGATATAAGTATAAAAGGCATTAAAGCAACTCGTCAAATAAAATATGTATAGTGCATTTCACGTGTCACAATTGTAAAAAAAAAAAACTGTATCTCCCAACCTGTTCATGTGTCACAATTGTAAAAAGAGCTGTCTCTCCAAACCTGTTATGTGTCACAATTGAAAAAAGAGCTGTCTCTCCAAACCTGTCATGTGTCACAATTGTAAAAAGAACTTTGTTTCTCCCAGCCTGTTCATGTCAGTCAGTCAGTCACAAACTGAAATGTAAAGCATCCACCGTACCTCCTTATCGGGCTTTACACAAAATTTTATCCGACCCACCAACGTGTGTGTCCTACACATTCAGCTATAATCTATGATGAAAAATTCAGCATTGATCCATGATAAGACCAGATCATACGCTGTCCAACAGTGCATCTAGTGTTATATTTAATTCAAGTTTTGCTTTTATTGAAGAGAACAAAAGTTTCAAAATGTTTGTGTTTTTTTTAAACACTTTAAAATGGAATATTTGTTGATAACCCTGAACAACTGGTGCACAGTGAGACCAAAGTGTCCCACTGATACATGTTGAGTGATAAAAGAATGGTGTTCATTACTCTACAGCAGGCCTGCACAACATACGGCCCGCGGGCCGCAAGTGGCCCGCCAGCACTGACTTGGCGGCCCGCGAAATAACGAAATATTTTTTATTATTATTATTTTCTTAATAGCTTTACCCCTTGTTCTATCATCTTTCGGCCCGCACAAGTTTTTCATAAAGTTTTACGGCCGACCTTACATTTTGAGTTGCGCAGACCTGCTCCACAGAATACATTTACATTTGGCTAGAAAATCTTCTGAGGGTATGGTACAATGCATATAATGCATATCACCAACATTTTCATAACAACAGCCACTTACATTTTTTACACTGTTAGAAATATATATATATATATATATATATACATTACATTGAGAGACAAACTATGGCCTCTGAGGATAAAACAACAATGAACAATACATAGATGAACATAACATTGCACTGGTTTCATTTTGCCGACCCAAACTGTTGAATTCATCTGACTGCATGAAGGTAAGATAGAAATATCTGAGCTACTGAAGGAGGTCTATTTAGAAACAAAATGAGTTTGAGGTTATGAGAGAAGTCTATTTAGAAACAAAATGAGTTTGAGGTTATGAAAGAAGTCTATTTAGAAACAAAATGAGTTTGAGGTTATGAAAGAAGTCTATTTAGAAACAAAATGAGTTTGAGGTTATGAAAGAAGTCTATTTAGAAACAAAATAAGTTTGAGGTTATGAAAGAAGTCTATTTAGAAACAAAATGAGTTTGAGGTTATGAAAGAAGTCTATTTAGAAACAAAATGAGTTTGAGGTTATGAAAGAAGTCTATTTAGAAACAAAATGAGTTTGAGGTTATGAGGGAAGTCTGGTATCTTTAAGACTAAAATGTTTCTAAAAATGGGTTCAAGTTGCGAGATGTGAGAAAAATACTCTCTAAATCAGAGCTAAAGAAGAAAAAACGCTGTTAATTGTATTTTATCATGGTAAAAATTGTTTGTTGTATGTAAGTCTGAAGCCAAGATAAAAATGTAAACATCAAATGAGTTCATAGATGCCTTAAAATGAAATACCAATCATTCAGATCACTCTCTTCCATGAAATGACCAACAAAGAGAAGTTTCAAATACCGATGGAGTCATCTTTCTACTTTATAAAACTCAATGGCAGAAACAAAACACAAATTGATAAATTTATCATTATACAAATGTTATTCCAATCTGATCGTACCTCCGTGTAACACTGAATTATTGATCACGCAGCAAATGATGCCCATGGAGTTTTTTTAATTTCATTTCTAGACACGGGAAAGTAAAAATCACCCAAGGGAGACAACCATTTAAAAGATCTCCCGAGAACAAAAACCTTTTTTCACTAAATATTAGTCATTATCATTATTATTATTTATTATTATTTAGGTCAATTATTATTTTTTGAGGGGTTTGTGGGTTGAGAGGAGAGGGGTGGGGAGAGCGAGATATACAGAGGAAGTGAGAATTACGGTGGCAATAAATTTTAAAATATATTTCTCCATTAGTAAAAGAGCATTAATACCACACACACAAAAAAAGATATTAAAGGTATTCGATTCTTTCTCTTCTTCACTGCAGATGTATTGCGGATTTATCATGAAAGAGAAACTTATAACAGTCTACATAATGCAATAGATTGTAGAAGAGATTTACCAAAAAGCCAGTCATTGATTGGGTTCTGTTTCAGATGAATACACTGGCTTTCAGGATATTTTTCTTCTAGAACCCATATCTTTTCAATTAATTATTTTTTTTTATTAGTATTTTGAATTATATTTATAAAAATTTTACAATATAAAAATGTTATAATATAAAAACGTTACAATATAAAAATGTGTTGTTTTTTTTAATTTTCAGGAAGCAATCTTTTACAAAATAGAGGGGGGGGGCAGTATAACAAAATTTGTTTTTTAAAACATGCAGCGGTAAGCAAACCTTTAAAAAAAATAGGAGTGGGGGGGGGGGGCAGCCTAACAAAATGTTCTTTTAAAAAGATGCAGCAGTAAGCAAACCTTTAAAAAATAGAGTGGGCAGTGTAACAAAAATCAATAACATTGAACCAAGTTTTCAAAAAAAAATACGTCAGCAGGATTGAAAATGGAAAGCACATCAATTACTGTGTACGCTCTACCTGAGTACTACTTTAGCAGTTCCCCAAAGAATAATGTTTTCAAAATCATGTGAAGTTATTTGAGAGATTTCTCATTTTAAATTTTAGGTATANTCAAACATTAAAAAAAAAATAGGGGAGGAGGGAGGGGAGTGTTAAAAATAGAAGAAAAAAATTAAATATAATATAAAGATATAAAAATACTTTATTCACATTCTCATGAAGTTTGCATTTTGGAATGGTGTTTAGATTTTTAAATAAATTTCAACGACATTTATTCAAATGTGCTATATTAAGAAGAAACAGCCAATAGTTTGTTGGGTTGTGTAACAGATCATATTACTTATGCATAGGATAAGGATTTCGTTCCTTTTTCTTGTGTTTCTATTCTCTATCCTTCAGATTCACTACACCATCGCGGCGTGCGAGAAATCTGTGTCATATGCATAAGTAACATACTTTATTACAGGTTGTTGTTTTTTTTTATATATGGCAGTTACCTTTCTTTTTTTAAATTGATCAGTGACCTACATTATCAGTTCATTATTAATAACTCAATCGGATCTTCCTAAAATGGTTACGGTACAATGTTATGACAAAATCAAAGTGTACTTCTCAGTAGACATAACAGGGGCCAAATACCTTTCCCCAAAAGAAACATTTTTTTGTGTGTTTAAATTAATGTTTTCTGTGAATGTTCGTGCCTGCTTGGCTACAAAATAACATACTATTACTACCTTATTTTTACATTTAGAATTGTTTGGATTACATCCAATCTTAGAACACATATTTATATTAAAATGCAAAATTCTGCAGTCGAGACATTTAAAAAAAAAAGATGTCTATTGTCACAAAGATGTATAAAATATTTTGTGCATAAAAATAATTCATGTCATTTGAAGATAAAATCATAAAAGATGGACCGACTGTGTCACAAGAATCTACAGAGAATCATTGCATCACCAGAAAGCAATGGAAATGTATAAACATCAATTTCAGCACATACAACAAAGGAGTTTTATTTGAACTCAAAGTAATCACTGCATGGTCCTCAAAGACTAATAAAATAATTGACCAAAAATTGTGCCTTTTTCAACCACCCTTTTGTTTATATACACCATGAATTTGCATCAGTTTGTTAATTTTATCCCATTTCTGAATTAAATTCATGACGTAAAATATAAACAGGAACATATTTATGAATGCAATTATATAAAAAAAAAATGAAAAAATTAGGAGTAAAAATAAAACAGTTAAAATAAACTAAACAAAAATACAGAAGTGATGCTAAGACCTTGACATTTTAATAATTCCATCATAGCATTGATGTTGAAAATATATCAAACAAATTTATTTTATTTAATTCCTATCTAAGGTCATAACAGTTTTATATCTATGGCATCTTTAAATCGATTTTAATGGGACAAATTTTAAATTGTAATTCTATAATTTATCTGAATGATTTTTATAGCCCCTCCCCCCTCCCCCCCCCCCACATCTCAGACATAACTAAAAAGGTACTTTATTAAATTGGCTACCACCGGGGTCATAACAGTTTTATATCTATGGCATCTTTAAATCGATTTTAATGGGACAAATTTTAAATTGTAATTCTATAATTTATCTGAATGATTTTTATAGCCCCTCCCCTCCCCCCCCCCCACATCTCAGACATAACTAAAAAGGTACTTTATTAAATTGGCTACCACCGGGGTCCCTGGATGCTCTGCACTTCTGCCTTGCACCAGTAAAGTACTCATTCAAACACGATATTTATTTATTTAGGCATTTTTATATAGCGCTTACCTTAAAGCTCTAAGCGCTTTACAATTATTAAAAACACGTAAACTAACTAAAATAAAAATGAGACACTAGGATAGTAACTACTATACTATAGAAACAATTAAAATGGCTATAAAACGAGGACACTTTGGCACGTTTTGGCCTATATTACAGGATGATTAACCCGAGACAGAAAATGAGGCAGGGCAAGGAGGGTGCATCACAGGTCATAGGCGGACCTAAACAGATCGGTTTTAAGGGACTTTTTAAAAGTGGACGAGGTTTCACAATGACGGATATGGAAGTTTATTCTATTTTAAAAACCCAAAATATTTCAACTCAAACCTCAGATCATTACGTAGCAGCCCTACTTTTAAAACAAGATAACAATCACAAACGTGGCAAAATTACATTTGTAACACATTGAACTTTAACCTAATATCATATTTTATATAAATTAATAGGAGCACTGATGTTTGTAAAAATAGAAAAAATTTACTTAATGTTTCTGCTTGCCTCATTTGAAGCCCTGCTAGTTAATCGCTTTAGCCATATGAACTGTTCACGCGTACAGATGTCGTGACCAGACCAACGTACACCCCAATTATAATGGCAGCTATGACTAATGCGATGATGCCGATGACCACACTGATTATCACCATGCTCCGGGCTGACCTGGCGTGGGCCGTCGCGGTAGGAATGTCTCCACGAGCCAAAGCATTCCGAGCCTAGAGATAGAGGAATCAAGACAAACTCAGTGCTGTACGAAGTTTTTGGAAAACTGGAGATGCATAAAACGAATGTTTATCCAGTGCGAAAATATTTGAAAAAAAGAAAAAGGTTTAGTCTATGTATATATAACATATACACAGAAGACATATATTAAGTTATTTATAAAATTCATTAAGGTAATGTAAAAACAACCAGACACTCATTTATAAAACATTAATGTTGTAAAATTCTACAGTTAAACATGGACTAGTTAGTGTTAGCTGACATGATAGTGGGGTCTAAATGATGCAATTTTTCTTCTTTCTGACCTTACTACAACCCCCCCCCCCCCCCCCAAAAAAAAAAAAAAAAAAAAATATATGTTTTTTTTAAATTATAGAATGAAAAAATTGTCTAAATTTAAGCTGACATTTTTTTCAACAAATTTATATAGTAATACCGGTACTGGTACAAAACTCAGTGGTGTTACCTAGATATGAATGTCTTTTAATGGGACATGTGGAATGTGGCTAAGGGACAAGGTATGGTGGGGACCCTGCTTTAAGTTTAATGATATGTAGGCCTAGATAACACACAAGTATGGAGGGCAGCATTTTTATTTATTTCAAAAGAAAAAAAAAGGTAAAGGTTTTGGAAATCATGAATTTATTTTTTTCAAAAAACTTTATCATGAGAGCTTGGCGAAATGTAACTATTAACAGAGAAGATACATTGAAAAATTACAATTCTAAAAATAATAACAGGAACAAACTTATTATTACATGTCATCCAAAAAGGGTTCAACCAATTAGTCTCCTCCCTTTTATGCAGTTTACCAGTTCTTACAACAAGCTGTGCTAAGGAAATATTGGCAATACCGGTACATTTTACCAAGTGGTTGAATAGGCTACTCACTTCGTTTGCCTTCATTATGGCTAAGATGCCTGTAGGCCAGAAGCAGCAAATTGTAACAAATATAGCTGCACACATGTGGTCAGCTGGTGGTGGACCAGCCACAACAGGAAAACTACCTGGCTGTTGGGTTACCTGTTGGGTGCCAAATCAAGAATTAGGCCTACATGTAGAAGAAAAATGTATACAAAATTGTTTTGCTAAAATCTCTTATATTGAGGGGCAGACCTGTTTTTTTAGTAGGGTCTCAATCTCTCAGAACAGGGCCTAGAGGAAGATTCTTCCCTTAGGCAGTGAGTCTGTCATTGTTATATTAAAAAATGAATCTCTTGAAATTAAATTTTATTTAAGTGAAACATAGGGTTATGTTGTTGAGTGATTTAAATTGATTTAAGATGTGGACTAACCAATCCTGTTTAAAAGTATGAAGCAACAGGACACTCATTTGGGACAGAAATACAATTTTAATACCGTATTGTTTTCTTGCCTTAGAATACAATTGTAGCAGCTTAATAACTATCACATAAAAGAAAGCTGAGGACTGAGTTAAGCTTCATTGTTCGTTTACCGATCAGAGTAACAGTGGCACTTAGAGCTTACCACAACATTGTTGGTGTTGGTATATTGGAACTGCTGTTGGGGATACTGTCCTGGTGGAGCTCCGCCCATATAGTTTGGCGGGGGTCCATACCCTTGTTGAGGTGGGCTGGCAAAGCCTTGCTGAGGGTACCCGTAGCCCGCTTGGGGGGTGGGGCCTTGGTATCCAGGGTATCCAGATTGCTGGTTGTAGTCTGGTGGAGGGGCATTCTCTTGTTGTGCTGTAGGAGGGAAGTCAGTGTAAGCAAGTTGTATTTATGTTCATTGAATAAATATTCAAACACTCCTCCTAATTACAAATTATTTGTATTTGGTAAGAACGCTAATATATATATAAATATATTTTAATGCCTTTCTATTGTATTAAAATAAAGCAGTCATGGACAACCTGGGGGTCTGTACATGCATATTGCAGCCTGTCAGATTTATACAAGGTGAATCACAGATTAACTACTATCTTCTTTCAATTTCAGCTTCTTTTCTTGTTTTTGATGGGCAGTTGAATTTATGGAATATGTGAATTATATTATTTTTTTTTAAATCTTTATATATCTGTGCTCCACATAACAATGTGTCTGAGAACTATGTGAATCAGTAATAAATAAATGACTACGCATATTGTTTATTTTGTGGTGGGTGATTATTTTTTTGTTTTTGTCTGTTTTGGTGTTTATTTTATTTGATATGTTAAATGACATGCGGTCAACGAAGCATGGGCTGGCGATCAAATTGACCCGTGAAGTCATCTGGGTCAGCCACTACCTGTCTTTAAGTCTTGTTTCCCCAGCAAGGAAACAGCACGGGTTGTTTAGTAGATAAAAAAAACAACTAAAAAAAACCAACTTGAGTTTTGTTGCAAAATGAAGAGACACGTTCAGTGAACATAAGTTTGCTGCAATGATAAAAAAGCTTCACTGAAATACGAGGAGTTTGAAACTGACAGGCCCGTTACCTTGGTGTCTATGTTTCCCATGGTGATGATTCTAACAATAAAAAGAATGCAACTGATGTGATGGCAAGCACGGACCATTTACAGATTAAAAGGATGATAATTGGGGGGGGGGGGGCTGGCCGACTGAGATCAGTTTGGCCCAGAGATGATTCTAACAATAAAAAGAATGCAACTGATGTGATGGCAAGCACGGACCATTTACAGATTAAAAGGATGATAATTGGGGGGGGGGGGCTGGACGACTGAGATCAGTTTGGCCCAGGACATGTAACCATATAGTAGGGGTAAATCTTGAAAAATAAACCATAAAACTACAGATGTGTTGGTAAAAAGACTTATCCTGAATTCCATCTTCTAGTTATCGCCTTACACACTCTTAGCCAACTACAATTGCACAGATTTTTTCCTAAACTTTCCACAAGAACGGTAAAATATTTTAATTTTAATTCATTGTTCACTTTTTGCGGTGAGAGTTTGAAGAGTTTCTTGAAAGTTGTGTCCATTGAAATTTATACTTTCTGCTTTACTGTCTTTCTATTGGTCTTTCATTTTTTCATATATACGCTAGTCATATCATCATATCATACATATACATGGATATAAAAGTGAACGTTGGTGGCTGGGTTTGTTACACATACGTTTTGACATGGATTGATGGATCTTGACCATACTCGGCACATATATCCATCATTATTCGGAAGGAACTCTTAAGGGGTTATGAACTTTTTATAATATTCCGTTGGGGCCGGGGCCCAAAATGTCGTTTTTTTTCCTATATGAGCTATAGAAATAAAATTACTAAAAATTACTCCTACATGAATGGATGGATCTTGACCAAACTTATTACGCATTCGTATAATCATTCATATTCATATACCAAAGGGTACTGAACTCATAATATCCATTTCTCTTGGGCTGGGGGGCCCCATTTCATTTTTCCTTATATAAGCCTAGCTTTGTTCGTATTGAAATATCGACGGCTTTAAAACTAATAATATCCAATCCAGAATTTTCCATAAGTTCAATTTTTTTAAAAAGCCATATCTATGGCATTTTTAAATCGATTTTAATGGGACAAATTTTAAATTGTTATTCTATAATTTATCTGAAATATTTGTATAGCCCCCCCTCCCCCCCCCCCATCTCAGACATAACTAAAAAGGTACTTTATTAAATGGGCTACCACCGGGGCCCCTGGATAATATTGGAAAAGAGGGTCCCTAGGTGAAACCGGATCCCATAGAGAACGGTATCCTAACGGGATCGGTAGCCCATCGGGATCCACCAAGATCGGGATCCCATCGGAATCGAAATACCGACGGGATCGGGATCCCACCGGGATCTGGATTCCCCTGGATCCGGAGCCACAAGAAAATGGGATCCCATCGGGATTGGGATCACATCTGGAAACGGGATTGCGCCGGGATCGGCGTCAAAACGGAACTGAGGTCCCACCAGGATCGATGTCCTAATGCAATCCCGGGCTACGCCGGGTATATCCGCTAGTTATTAATAAATATTAATACGCTGAGGCCCACTTGGGATAATGATGACATTTAAAAATGAGAAAAATGATATTCTAATGGCTATAAGTTGTATAACTATATATTCTTTATTAAATTTATGATTTAATATATGATCATGGTGATATGGATGGATTAATGCCATTGTAATGCACTATCAATGAAAACGGCAGATACCTCGACTTTATATGGCGATAATTTATTTTTTTATGCTAACATATAGTAGCTTTGCCTTGTCTTGCGTTACAGGTCGAGAAATAAAATGAGTAAATGTTGGTTCACCGCGCCACTCTCGGTTGTCATGACGACAGAGTCTGTGTCATGTCAACCAAGATGGCGGTGGCGTAAAAAAAATAATCAATGAAATACTTAAAAACATATCATCGGTGTATTAATATATTTTTTTAAAAGAAAATTGAATTCTATCATAGCAAAGTAAAGTCTTTTAAAATAAAAAACGTAAACAATTTATAATTTACAGTTTATGTACAGTTATAGCCTGTAAATATAATTCAAATTCCGCTGTCAAATTCAAATATTCTAGTGGTGGAATATTTGGCTCGTTGTCTAGGTGTCTGATTCAACCACAAAAACAATAACCTTCAAGGTGCATAAGTCTTTTTATTCATGACAGCATTACAGCCGTAATGCGTCTTCACAGATAATTCAATACGAATCAAAATTATATGATAATATCCCAGTCTGCAAATATATCCTGACAAATTCACTATATCCAAACGTCTCGCTCTCGCGAGTCCTATCTCTCGTCTCACAACACGATCTCAGTTCACCGTCTCACCGTGAACATAATAATCCTCTCCCCTCCCTCTCACGTCTGTGAACCCTTTTATATCCACCTTTCATTCACTCGTTCACTCCAACATCGTTCATGAACGTAACATGAAAATAATTCACTCTCGCTCCCAAGCCCCGTTCATCCCCACTTCCCACTCAAACACACCACGGCTGATTTCATGATCTTGACATCCGCTACGTTCTCCTTTTTTTAAAGTAGAAAACTTATTTGTCTGATGGAAATACCGCTGCCGATGGGTGTTATTCCCAGCCGACTGTGTATAACTTTTTTGCCTTAAAAATATAATATTTATAAATATAATATATATAAAAATATAATATATAAAAATATAATATAATTCTCACACTCACAAGCAGATTTCTCCATGATGACGTCACGTCGAATGATGACTATGTTCTAGGTAGTTATACTATACCACAACTTATCTGGTCTCTATCTCACTCGTTATTTTGAAGGAAAAAAATGTATTATGGCAGGTGTGCCAAAATGGTTTAATTTTAAGATCCCGGATAAGTGTACAACATATAAAGCCGTAGCAGTAGTATGACAACGCTGTTGGCACATAGGAATTTGAGCTAAGGCTTGGGGGTGGGATTGAACTAAGAATTTCAAAAGTACCACCGTTATTAGGCTATAGTTCCACTGGTTCCGTTTTTCACCGGAATCTTAGACTGACGTAGGAGGCCGAGTTCGGAAGAAAATACAAATACAAAACCCAAGTGACATCGGTGACAGAATCGGTGCTTCTCGTACTGGTCGTACATGGACCCAACAAGCGCCGGTCGAAATTAAAATATTTAGTTTTATTTCCGTCCAATTGAAACTTAAAATATTGTATTTATGGCTACAATTTACAGTTTTACTTTGTAGGAGAAATAATTAGTAGCAATTAAAAAGTTAATTTGTTTAGTTCGCGACCATGAAATGATTCGGGTTTAACACTACTCATAAAAAGTTCAAGGCCGTTGTGACCCGTTGTGATGATTAAACACTCAATGAATGTAAATCCAATGCAGAGAAGTTAAGAGTCGAACAATGCAGTCTCAATAGTCCAGTGGCATAGCTGGGGAGGGGGCTCCAAATTCGAAAGTCCCCCTGGGCCCCTATTTTAGGGGGGCCCCCAAAGGCGTGTCCGAAATTTTTTTTTACATTAAATAATGTCGAATGTCAAAATGCAGGGGCCCCTAAAGAGGCCAAGCCCCCCGGGCCCCCAAATCTCTAGCTACGCCACTGCAATAGTCTCTAATTTCATTTATTATATTACATATCAATCATGTTAATTTATAACGAATATCTCCACTCTATTTAATTTAATGTGTATATTTTCAATATATTAATCGTTTACCATATAATATTGTATTCATTTAGTCCTACTCGTTTACCATTGACCATAATAATAAATAATTTGGTAACATTTTATTATTTTTTTTAAATAGAGTTTGAGACTCGTAAGATTGCATAATTACTTGCATAGTCTGAATAGTTTATAGGCGTGTTACTACTGACCAAAATATAAAATGAGTAAAACAAAGTAGGGTTAAACCTGGAAAAAAAGGAACACAACAAAATAACAAACATGTTGACAGGAAGCCTTCGTCAGCGAACAAAACAACAGAAAACACAGAATAAAATTTAAAAATAGCACTTAGCTGAGAAGTGGTACCCATGATGACGTCGAATGATGACTATGTTCTAAGTTATAACACAACTTATCTGATCTCTATCTTCACTCGTTGTTGTGGAAAAAAAAAAATTATGGCAGGTGTGGCAAAATGTTTTAATTTAAAGATCCCGGATACGCGTACAACACATAACACCATAGTATAACAGTGTATTTGATACTAATTCTCAGCTAAGTGATATTTTAAAATTTTATTATGTTTTTTCTGTTGCTTTGTTCGCTGACTGACGAAGGTTTCCGGTCGACACTTTCGTTGTTTTGTTGCGTTCCTTTTTTTTCAGGTATAACCCTACTTTGTTTTACGCATTTGTTTGTTGTTTTTTTGTTTTGTTTGCTGTTTTTGTTTTTGTTTTTTTTTGCTAACCTGATTGCAGTCTCTACCTTTATAGCCCTTTACTACTAACCAGTAGTCTACAGAGTAGAGCAGTAATGTCACAAGTCTACTTTTAATTATTATTAGTAATAGTATACCTTATACTCATAGTATATCTACTAGTATAACCTTAATATTAATATAATTATAACTTAGTGCAAACGGCATGTGGGCCTAATTTTAAAATTACTAATAATGTTAATAATAATAAAAATTTAATATCACTAAGTCTACTTCTAATAAAATAAAATTACAAAATAACAATTTGAACAATGTAATAAAATACGAGATTGCATTTACATTGTCGGTATTGACATTCGGCCTACCACGCTAAATTATTCTTTAGATGTACAAGTCAGCGGCGTCATTTCAGATTTTCTACAAGGGGGCGGGGGGGGGGGGGGGCAAATGCCCCTCCCTGCCCTACCCAAATGACGTCCCTGTTACAAGTAATCGCGTTAGACGATCATTACAACTGTTATCATTATTATTGCACTTAATTATTATTTAAATTTACATAGTAAAAGTAATATTACTTAGTATAAGTAAATGTATATACAGATGTGGCAGTGTATGCCCCGCTATTATTACGAAACCATGTTTGGCGCCAAACGAGGTGCGGATTCGACCTCGGGGTTAGAGTATTCTAGCAGACGTGCAGCGTGAATGTAAGGCATCTTACCCTTCGCGCATATTTCTTAAATATTGGAAACTACTAACTGTGCTTTTGGTTCAAGGTCAATAATTTTTTTTCTCGGGAAACCTAGCGTATTAAGTTATAAGTTATATCTAGTTGGAAAGGGGATTTTATTTCCCGGTTCCGAATAGCGGCTATGCGTGACTGGGTCCCTTTACACTAGGGCAGGGGTCTCAAACTCGCGGCTCCCAAGACGATATTTTGCGGCCAGCGACATGAAAGCAAATGTAGTGTTAATGCGGCCCGCGCTTTTCCCAATCTCATATCTATAACGCACAATAATAGCGTGGAACCACCTGGACAATGCCGCTGTGAACTCGACATCGGTTCGAAAACTTCAAGCCTGCCCTGGCATCAGCTAGGAGCTATTAGAATAGCAACATCATACCCCCAACCGCTACACAGATGCCCAGTACATGGATGCAGCAGCGAACACAACCAGAACCAGAATCTATAATGTGACCCTCCGCGACGGTTTCCAGTCGAAACTCACCAATTCTGATTTTTATTATTTTTGTACAGATGTGTACGTTGATTATAATGGTAAAAACCGTATTAAAATCAGACTGAATGCGGAAAGTTATAGTGCAAAAAAAAAAATGCAGTTAAGAACAGTAAATTACAGAACTTTGAAACAAAAATTATAGCTATTTTATCTCCAAACAGCGATCACTGATAGAATCAGTCGCGGTATGCGAGGTCCGAAACACGGCCCTCTGATCAAGTTACAGGAAGTCAGGGAAGAGGAAGATCCGGGTGTAGTTACAATGACAGTCGTGAGAATTTAATGTCGAAATCTGGAGATGGGATCCATAGAAGTGTGGGGGGCTACCGTGGGAAGTGAGGTGGAACGAAAGATCTTGGAAGGTGGAGCGGGGGTTGGATTCTAGTTAATTGCTGTAGGGCAGTGGTCCCCAAATGGCGGTCCGTGGACCTTCACCGGTCCGCATGCCTAACGCTGCCGGTCCCCCATAACATAAATATCTATTGTCAAATAGAAATAAAAGTATACAAATAAATCATGCACCGGTCCCTGGTAAAATTTCGAAACTTGTTCACCGGTCCGCCAAACTTAAACGTTTGGGAACCACTGCTGTAGGGCAGGGATTCTTAAATTTTACGCAGTGCTGCATCTCCTACTAGCTTCGAGTCATTATTCCCCCACCCCCGTATACATTAAATAAATATACAATTTTAATATGAAAATAATTAAATAATGTATTTATATTCGATTTATTTGTTTAATTACATTTCCAGATAAAAGAGAACAGATTACCAATATGAGGAATGCACAAACACGATTCACCAGAGAAAGAAATTGCTGCTGTTATTCTAAATGGAAAAAAAAATCATTCTATTTTGAAAGGCAGAAACATTTAGCAATGACAGCAAATGATATTCCTTTTCTGAGTCTTCCGCACAACAAGGGGGTGCTTTCACCCCTGTTTAAGAACCACTATTCTAGGGGAAATATTTCTTACACAAGTGCAATAATTCGATATCCATGGCAGGTGCTTTTTGTAAGGGTTTGTATAGGGAAGTAATGGACTGGTGGATTTTTATAGGGAGGAGGGGGTAGAGGTCTGTTACGTTATATAGGAGGTAGGGTCTAACTTTTTGTGACGATTTGGGGGCGGNGTAAACATGGTGTTGTGTTGCTTTGTCTTACGACTTTTGTGTCGTTGTGAGGTACCGGTAAACATGGTGTTGTGTTGCTTTGTCTTACGACTTTTGTGTCGTTGTGAGGTACCGGTAAACATGGTGTTGTGTTGCTTTGTCTTACGACTTTTGTGTCGTTGTGAGGTACCGGTAAACATGGTGTTGTGTTGCTTTGTCTTACGACTTTTGTGTCGTTGTGAGGTACCGGTAAACATGGTGTTGTGTTGCTTTGTCTTACGACTTTTGTGTCGTTGTGAGGTACCGGTAAACATGGTGTTGTGTTGCTTTGTCTTACGACTTTTGTGTCGTTGTGAGGTACCGGTAAACATGGTGTTGTGTTGCTTTGTCTTACGACTTTTGTGTCGTTGTGAGGTACCGGTAAACATGGTGTTGTGTTGCTTTGTCTAACGACTTTTGTGTCGTTGTGAGGTACCGGTAAACATGGTGTTGTGTTGCTTTGTCTTACTATGCAGATAGAGAAGTAAAATGGTCTGACCAAAATTGTTAAAGTAAAATATTATGCACATTTTGTTAGGCCCTGTGTGGGGGGTGGGGTCCTAATACGGATTTCGAGGTATGTGGTGAGATATCTCATGGGCGGAAAGCAATTGAACTAGTTGGCATGTAGCCCTTGGCTCAAAGTCTAAGACTAAAACTCCCTACGTAAGACCACCGCAGTCGTAGCGTAGATAGATTACATACGAATGGGTTAAGCCTTGATATGCCTAGGTATATCCCTCTATGAACAAGTATGCAACTTGCTTAAAGTTATGCACGTCGGTCTGATTTTTTAAAATATGTCATTTGAAAACTCTTTACTATGTCTATTTTAACCCTATTTTAAAAAAATAAATAAATATAAAATATAATTCTCACCAGCAGATTTCTCCATGATGATTATGTTACAAATTAATAACACACCTAGTCCGATCTGTACCTCACTCGTTATTGTGTACTAAAATGATGGCAGCTGTGCCGTAATGGACTTCTTTATATATGCCGGATTGTAAAGGCGCCGGATACGTGCACAATACATGAACACCACGTATTATAACCCTGCGGCCACATCGGGACCGTGTGAGATTGAACCAAACTTTCAAATGTACCACAGTTCATCATAAATCCTCCATCATTATAAATGATGGCAATCGGGAAATTTTATTAAGCTAGTCATTGC